ACAGACCGAAAGTCATTCATTTCCAATGGAGAGTAGCGCGGGAGCTGTGTAGAGTTCCAATCATATGCAGATGTCCGTTCATACTACAAGACCGAAAGCGCGTGTTATGTGACCATTCATGCACACTGTAGCATCATGCTACATAGACCAGGGTTTAAATTGGGCCGGGCCGTCTGGGGCTTGACATTAATGCTTCATTAACGCCAGACAAGTAACATGATTAAAACATCAGTAACCAAAAATAACTATGTAAACACCAAAACGCAATATTTAGAGTAAGTGGCGAATAGTGGATATAGCTACTGTATATAATGCATCTATTGACAGAATAAGGTTGCGCCGCTGAGGCGAGGCTCGCGCAGCCTCTCCAGGAGAAATCAAAACGCGCAACACTAAGAAACTCAGCATCCTGAGGTAAAAATTCAAAATGGAAAGTTTTTATATTTAAAATACAGTTAGTTAGGCAACATCACACAACGTTTTCACCATCACGACTGTTTAATAGTTCTATAAACAGTTACAATGCAAATACAATAATATTATGTCACATACATTTTAGGCGGAAACACATAGCAACCAGCCGATTCATTGCTGCTTGATTCCGTGTTTTGAACGAATCGGTTGAGTCAAAGTTTCATTAGCACATGCATAAACATCTGCCGTTTGAACGAATCGTTTGAATTAATGACTCAATGACTCACTCATAAAACGCTCACTACTGGCACCTACTGGCGTTTTAATTTCATTAAAAAGTATCATTTCCACCATCATTTCTTGTTTGTATATTTAAAAAATATTTAAAATAATATCATAATATTATTTAATGCAGTTGTATTTTTCAGTGTAAATGATTAAATTTGATAACGTATAGATAATCACATTATTATAATTGAATTTATAGATCAAATGTAAGAATTTGAAATTAAACTCGATACCATAGAGCCCCCCCACATAACAAATCCCAATTTAACCCCTGGACGGCAGGAAAAGATTGTTGGCTTTAAACGCTCTGACGGACCAGTGTCTGATTTAGACACATGCAACACAAACTCACGCGCAACTACAGCATGAACTCTCACTGCTGCTCTAGTTTGGATTGTGGTGTGCACGATTCATCATTCATTCATCTGAGGATGTGATATTTCGGTAACACTTTAGAATAGGGAACATTTATTCACAATTAACTGCGACTTTTCCCTCAATAAATTCCTAATTTGCTGCTTATTAATAGTTAGTAAGGTAGTTGTTAAATTAGGGATGTAGAATAAGGTCATGTAGAATAAGGCATTAATATGTGCTTAATTAGTACTAATAAATGGCTAATATTCTAGTAATATGCATGCTAATAAGCAACTAGTTAAGAGACCCTAAAATAAAGTGTTACCGATATTTCTTTATAATCCATATCCTGTCCTTATATTTACTGACGCTTAAGATTTTAAAAATATCATTAATGTATTATTATAGTTTTTATTCATATTTTCAATTTGTTTTTAGTTTGTTTTATTTTAATTTTAGATAAAGTTTTAGTAATTTTGTCGTGCGTTTTAAAAAAAAAGTTTTTTAATGTCTATATAGTTTTTATTCATTTTTATTTTTATTTCTGTTTTAGTTTTATTTTTTTTGGTACACCAAGTTAAATGAAAATGAGAAATGTTTTTTTTGGCAATTATATTTCATTTCAGTTAAAGTATATTTTATTCCAAGTAACAAAATAGCATTAAATGGTTTCAGGGTTATTATAGTTAACTAAAACTAGAACTAAAACTAAAACTAATAAAAAACAAAGTTTGTATATATATATATATAAACCTTAAACTTAATTTTTTTCAGCTAGTTGCCAAGTCATTTAGTTCTAAAATAACTACAACTAAAGCTAAAAGTAATAAATAAAAATTAATAAAAAATATATAGCCATATTAAAAAAAAAATTAAATAACAATTAAAATGACAAAAACACACAACAAAATTTTCTAAAACTTTATCTAAAATTAAAATAAAACAAAATATAAAAATAAAAACTAACTGAAAATATGAATACAAATTAAAAAATATTATATAATTAAAATATGAATAAAATTAAAGTGAAAACTATGTATATATATAATTTGCAATACTAACAAACACTATAATAGTACATCAGTGACACTAAAATAACAATACCATGAACATGCAAATGTGTTAAATTGTAGAAATATTACTTAAAATTATTACTTATGTAGAATTATGAATTAAATTATTCAATATTTTAGCTTAAAGGGGTTTGGTTGATAAAAAAAGTTTGTGAATCCCTGCTTTAATAAAATCTTGTAACGTGTAAATTGTGTAAATTAAAATGTGTCTCTTGCATGAATAGCACACAGATACATGTACCGCGGTATTAACGGTAAACTCCCTCCCTCGGGCCGTGTCCGATCAGTGTCAGGTTGTTTATTTGCTTCATCTCTGATGAGAAAAGGCCATCCCAATTATACAGATGTGTGTGGGATGGACAGAGTCTCCTGACATTTCCGTCTCTCGCTCATAAACCAGAAAAGCGAGTCGTCTGAGGTCAAATCAAACCCCGAGCACAAACTTCCCACTTTGTCTTGTTATTGTGACATCAATAGCTGAACATCGCCTGCGCTCTTATCTGCCTGTTCAATGATTAATAACTGAAAAACTGAAGCGTGTGTTTGAGTGGGATCTCTGTAGATGCAGTGACTCACGCTGGCTGGGTCGTCTGCTTGCTTCTGTGCGTCTTCAGCAGTCTCCGGAGCGGTCGGAACTGACACGGGCAGTAACGGAGAGCGGGCCTTCCCGGCCTGACCCAGAGACGCCGTCTTCACCTGCGGTTTGGGTAACGTCCCACCTGTGAGCAGAAAACATTCCAAACATTAAAAGGACACTTCACCTAAAAATCAACATTCTGTCATCATTTACTCATCCTCACGCTCCAAAGCTGTACGAGTTCCTTTCTTCAAAAGAAGATATTTTGAAGAATGTTGGGAACCATTGACCTCTATAGTATTGAAAAAATACTATGTAGATCAATGGCTGCCGTCAACTGTTGGGTTACACACATTCTTCAGAATATCTTCTTTTGTGTTCAACATGTAATCAAATGTGACTTGAAAAGTAGTTCACTCAAAAATGAAAAAAAAAAAATGCTGAAAATCACCAATGAAACCTAAACATCACTTACTTGATCTTGATTTCTCTCCTGATTCACACCAGAACACTTTTTCACTGCAGGAAGCGTTATTATGGATTATGAACTCATATTTTAGACATTAAAAATGTCTTAATGCTGGATTAGTTTCAGCTTTTGTCTTCTCCAGATGTTAACTGATGGACTGGAGTGCTGTGGATTACTTGTGGATTATTGTGATGTTTTTATCAGCTGTTTGGACTCTCATTCTGACGGCACCCATTCACTGCAGAGCATCCATTGCTGAGACACTGATGCAATGCTACATTTCTCCAGACCTGATGAAGAAACAAACTCATCCTGATCTGGGATGATCTGAGGGTGAATGCATTTTCTGCAAATGTTCATTTTTGTGACTTATCTTATCTTTCATCAATGCAATTTTCACTTGGTGCACTTATCCAGAAAACAAGGTAGCTACAAATTGTTTTCATTATTTTCAGCACCTGTCCTGCTGACCCTGAATGCAACAAAATCATGCATTAGCAGTGCAATCTAACTGCAGAAATTGGCAGCACCTGCTCCAGGAACACGTCCTTGTCAAAGCTGTGCATTCAAGCAAAAGCGTAAATCGAGGGACAAAAACCCCAAACCACTTCTGCTTTATCAATGGCAGTGATTAGAGAGCAGAATTATTGTTGATTGTTAATGTAGAATTAATTTAACCACCAGAACTCAGTTTTCAATCGAGCTCCGCGTCTATGAAGCCAAGATAAAGTGGTTTCATGTTGTTCAGCTGAATGGTTTTATCAACCTTGTTTTGCAGTGCAGAAGTAAGCTATTTTCCGTGAATGTGCAAAACTACATTAACCATTGTGCATCAGTTTAAGAAAGTTACACTGAGGTCCTTAGTGGATAAAAAACAGACATAAAAATAAGATATATAAACATTTTTTTCCATTTTCGCTGACATTGATCTTTTTACCTACATTAGTCCTGATCATAACTACCACAAATTCTTTCATTTTCTGGATTTTAAGCCTTTAAATGGCAGTTTGTTTACAAAATATTTATGAAAACACACACAATTATTTTCCATATACTAAATGCTAAGCCGTTTTTAATTAATTTTTTTATTATTACAGTCTTAGATAAGTCAATGACTAAAACAAAACAAAACATTAATTTAATGCATTATTGTCAGATTTTTTTAAATAGTAAAATTGTTGAAGCCTTGCCAAAAAAATGAAAGCTTATTAACAAATAAAATGTATGATTTTATGCTTAATTCATGCTAAATTTATGCTGTTTCCATCAGGGTTATTATATTATAGTTAAATAAAACTAAAAACCATAAAAAACATTTTCATTACTTGAAATAAAATAAATGTTAACTGAAATAAAACTAACATAAAAAACGTTTTCATTTCAGCTAGTTTCGAAGGCAACATTTCTCACATTCATTTAGTTTAACAACGTGCTAAAATAACTAAAACTGAAATTAAAAATGAGTAATAACTATATAGACGTATTTAAAAATAATAAAAATGACAAAAACAGAACAAAATTACTAAAACATTAACTAAAATTAACATGAAAGCAGAAAATAAAAAACAAATTCTGATTCAAAATATTAACAAAAACTAGAATAGTATCTCAATTATACTAAAACACTGATGTATGAATGTAGGCTGTTATACAGTATGTACATTAAAAAAGTTTAAAATATGCCCATTACACTATAAAACAACAACAACAACAAACATTTCTGCAGATAACTCTGAACATATAGCAATGAGTTACTGTCAATTATTTATCTTGTTAATAAGGAACTTCTTACATTTAAATTCCATTATAGTTACTATTCTCATAGGAATAACATTACTTTTGCGTTACTGATGCATGTCTATTGTCAAATTAAAGGAGTCATATGATGTTGCTAAAAAGAACATTATTTTGTGTATTTGGTGTAATGAAATGTGTTTATGCGGTTTAAGGTTAAAAAAACACATACTGTACATTATTGTTTCTCCTCTATGCCCCGCCTTTCTGAAACGCGTTGATTTTTACAAAGCTCATCGGTCTGAAAAGCGAGGTGTGCTCTGATTGGCCAGCTATCCAGTGCATTGTGATTGGCCGAATACCTCAAGCGTGTACTAATAGTATCTTAATGATACTAAAACATCACTGGTTTGCATTAACCAATATGATAAAAAAAAGAAAAAAAAATATGCCTAAAGACGCGAGAAAAAGCGAACAGAGCATAAAAAACAGTGTCACTACAGAAATGCAAAACTGAGCAGGCAAAATATCACATAACCCCATTATGAGAAAAAACCCGCTCAGAGAGATCCAGACCGCCGGAGGGGCTCGTTAGCATTCGCACCATACTAACTGCTCAATGTTTTTCTGATATGGATTTTCAGTCAACTGTAAAGCAATTTATGGGTCGTGTACGTGCTGCTACTGCTACTTGCTGGCTCGTGCTCATCACTCTTCAACTCAACGTTCAATTTCAGACCATTAGACAGTGAAACTAATATCCACGCAGTTTGATACACGTACAATACTAGTATCCTGAGCAGTGTAAAGGTGGTTTTGCTGGTGTAGTGCACTAAAACTGGCCTGATGAACCACTGTAGCAGGATCTGGACGTCAGGCTGTTTTCCCTCTTTTAGAGGTGCATTGGAGTGGTAAGTGATATTATCACTGTCATTTCTCTTCTTGTCTCTCGGCCAGAGATGATTAGCGCTCATTAACTTCCAGCCGCCGGCAGATTAGCCAGCCAAGATCTCTGCCGAGCTCATTCAAACCTAAACTCTCACAGAGACGGGAAAAACCAGCCCTTAGAAGATGCTTTAGAGAACACATCTTCAATAGCAATTCATAACCTTCTTCTGCTCCAAACAGACCCTTGTTCAGCGGGAATAAGGTCACTATGAGTGAAACACAGATCAGCCGATTCACTGAGGAATCTCAGAAAAACCATCAAAAACACGGATGAGTCACATTTCAACCCCACACCAGGAGAGACAAGACCTTTCTTTGCATTTTGCATGATAAACATGAAGCCTATTTTTAAAGCCAGTGCATTATTTTCCTTTGCATTACAGCAATGATAATTTGAGGGTTAACTGTCATGAAAATAATGATGCATTATTCAAATCAAAGTATTTATACATAATGGTAGCACTTGTAATTTATGCTTTTTTTTAACAAAGTAGTACAACAATAACAATCTAATGAGAAACATTAACGAGAGCTCCTTAAACATCCAAATACATATAGAAATAAGAATTATTTGTGTTTAATTGTCATGGAAATAACGTCATAATGTGAAGGAAAAAAAATCATACTGGCCCGAAAATATGCCTTCTTTTTTTAAAAAACACATCAAGGATCACATTTCAACCCCAAACCCATAAGAAACGAGCTTTTTGTTGCATTTTGCATGACAAAAATGAAGCCTGTTTTTAAAGTCAGTGCATTGTTTTCCTTTGCATTACAGTAATGAGAATTTGAGGGTTAATTGTCATGATGCGTAATGGTAGTATTTGCTGATTTTTCCTTAATTTATTCTGATTTAAATAAATAAAACATTGTACTACAACAATGAGAATCTAATGAGAAACATAAATGAGAAAAATAAATTAAGCTCCTTAAACAGGAATTGTTTAATTGTCATGAAAATAATGTCATAATGTGAAAAAATCACACTGGCTCTAAAATCAGCCTCATTTTCTTCATGCACAATATATTTTCTTTTGTTTTGGGGTGAGATGTGAGCTGTCTTCATGAGATTATCCATAAATCAACACTCCTCCCTCTCTCTGCTCCTCTTTGTCTTTATATTCTGACAAATTGCGTCTCTCTCAGTCGAGGACAGTGTGTGTTATGGTGTGTGAAATGGCTGAACGGTTTAAAGCGCTTCAGGTCCGTCTGCAACGCAATCCCTCACATCAGCTTTAAAAACCCCATTTAACTTGCGGTGAAGTGGCCGCATCCTGGGAAAAGAAACGCTTGATAAAAGCAAGAGAAAACATCTTCGCCAAAGACAGAGCACAAATTTGACAAGCCGTAAATGTTTCAGGTTAATTCAACTAAATTGTCTAAATAAAAATGCATGAAGGATCTCCGGTGTCAGAACTTCTCTGGACTCTCTGATGCCTTCAAGTTAAAAGAGACTCTGATAGATTGATCCGTCTCTCTCGGGCAGGAAGGAGACGGCTTTAAATTCTTCTTTAAAAGACGGATGGACTCCTCTGAAACAAGAGGAACAAAGGCGAGTTTGTGAAGCTCGCGGATAGTAAATATAAACCCGACAGCCCTCAAACGCTCAGTCGTCTCCTGAGGCCCTATGACTTTTATTCTGCTGCATTCTCTCCTTTATGAGAGTCGATGCACGTCTGCAGCGTTTCACCCCGCAGCTGATTACACTCACGGCTCCTGATGACAATTAATTAACACGAGTAAATCAAAGCATTAGTAATACAACACAAGCTGTGATAACGAACTAACTGGGAGTGTTTACTTGATCAGTCATAATTCACGGCGTGAGGGAATAAGATATGATACAAAGTTCAAACGAGTGATTGATTTCTCAAACAAGCCTTATTCACATGTGCAGCACAGAGATGAACCAGAGACAGAACGACACGACACTCCAGTCAGAAAAACTCAACAAGAATAAAAAGGAAATGAAAGAGCCGAGAAAACCACGACTGAACCTCACAGACAGTCAGAACGATAGATAGATAGACAGACAGACAGACAGACAGACAGACAGACAGACAGACGATCGATAGACAGACAGACAGACAGACAGACAGATGATAGATAGATAGATAGACAGAGAGACAGATGATAGATAGACTAGGCGCCACTGACAGTGCACATTTCAATATAACACCAACATTTTCTAAAAACAAAGAAAACAAATAAATAAAAGATGTTTTTATTTAAAATAAGTCATTACATTTTATGACACATTTCTATCCTTTATGAAGCTTGAAAGCTCATGCCCTTAAAATAAATAAATAAATAAATAAATATAAAAATAAATGAGTGACATTTTCTGACACTTTCTGTCCTTTTTTCAAGCATGAAAGCTCTGGTCTTCAAATAGACAGACACAGACAGACAGACAGACAGATGATAGATAGATAGATAGATAGATAGACAGACAGACAGATGATAGACAGACAAACAGACAGATGATAGATAGACAGACAGACAGACAGATGATAGACAGACAGCCGACAGACAGACAGACAGACAGACGGACGATCGATAGACAGACAGACAGACAGACAGACAGATGATAGATAGATAGATAGATATAGATATATAGATAGACAAACAGACAGACAGACAGATGATAGACAGACAGACAGACAGACAGACAGACAGTCAGATGATAGACAGACAGCCGACAGACAGACAGAGAGATAGATGACAGATAGATTGACAGATAATAGACAGACAGACAGATGATAGACAGATAGATAGATAGACAGACAGACAGACAGATGATAGACAGATAGATAGATAGATAGACAGACAGACAGACAGACAGCCGATAGCTAGATAGACAGACAGACAGACAGACAGATGATAGACAGATAGATAGATAGATTGATAATAGATAGACAGACAGACAGACAGACAGACAGACAGACGAT